CAGTGTGTGTGTTTCGGGCCGATAGCGGAATATAAATAAAAGTACCCCATCAGCTCTAAATTAGATTAGATGTGTGTACATCGATGAAGGAATTTCGAGTACTTCACCAGAATAGGTGACTGTGAATGTATTTATTTGTTCGACTGTATTAGAGAAGTTCAGTTTTAGGTTAGATTATAGTTGTGATGCATAGAGTGCTGAAATGGCCTAAATGTCGAAAGCCCCCGTTTGGAGCCTAACCCCTTTGGTTGGGACGCGATAATCTCATGGGAATCTGGCTTCAGGTGTGGTATAGGCCTAGGGTCAGTAGATCGGGGAGTGAGACCCTTCGGGGTGAAAGTTCATTCATCCGCAAAACAGGCAGGTGAGACCAAATCTAAGGTAAAGCGAGTTGGTATGAAGTCCAGAGATCAATCATTACGGCTCGGCACTTTTTTATTAAACTGTAAACTAAATTGACAATTTTTATATACAAAATTACAGATTTTAATCCTCTGATAAGTGTGGGCTTTAACAAATATTTATATTTTACCTGGTTCAACAGACATGTATAAACTATAAAAATTAAAATTACAACTTTAAACTATCCCATTTTTAAAATAATAAATATATTTTTTAAATATAAAGCATAAAATAATGACTACGAAAGTCCTACATATTATCATAGTGTTTGTGCTACACAAGATAAAAACACTATTAGCAGTGTCCAGCTAGTTTCCATTTCTTCATTGTTGCTTGTTTTTTATTGTATTTGTCGATTTTCGTTTTCTTTAGTAGTAATCCAACTTTGTGCTTGTATGTTTTTTATTTATGCGGAGCTATATCCTGCCCCCTCTTCAGACAACAAGTTACAATAGTAAAATTCAATGAATAAAAATTAACATTAACACAATTTCATTAATACACTAAAATTAATTGAAATAATTAAAATGGTCAATTACACCACTAAACATAAATGGATAAAATTCTATCTTACCCTGCTGGAGTGTATAAACTTTTACACGTCCCCAATTGCAGTCATTCTATCAAAATTTGACGTAAAAATGTCACAGTTATCTTTTCAGGTACAAATTCAGCAGGTAACAAAGTCCTGACTAATAAATAAACAACAACGTAGTTATTAAATTAATATATAAATGAATAGTTAGATAAATTTTATAATTGATTTGTTATACATATATGTACCAGTAAAAACAGTAAAAAACATAAATCGTAAATTACTTGTGCTTTAATCATTATTTAAAATGTATAATTATATAAGCGATATTCTTTTTTTTATACTAATACTTTTACAAGCTAAGAAACCTAAGCTTTATATCTTTAAAAAATTTAAAAACTTTGCCTATTACGCCAATAATTAATGAGTTTTTTTATGGACAAATAATTGTACATTTTACTAGTTGATGAGTTTCTATATTTTTTGTATTTCATTATATTATTAAAGCTTTTTTCTCTGTCAAACCGAACAAGCCCGGAATATCAATGCAGATAATAATTAAGAAAAAATGGCAAAATCAATACAGTTTCAAAGGTTTCCAAGTATTTTCGGTAATTGGTGTCTTTAGATTCGGGCATACAATGATCCGCCGCCATATGAGTTTGTGTTTCATGCTTTCTGGACGAACTTTCTTCCATAAAATAAATGGACAATGATTGTTATCCAAAGATTCTTAAATTCTCTCTGTACTTCTATTGTGAGCAGATGACATAAATTTATTTGAAAAATTAAAATAGTATAATTTAATCAAAATAGTAAAATTAAAATTAAAACTAAATTAATTTCTTACATACTGCGTTGTGTATTTGCTACTTACTTCTATAATTATGGCTGATAATCGTTTTGTTTTGCCTGCCTTTATCCAAAGAAGTTCCACCAAACTTGATTCATACGACAATTTCTTATTTTTTGTGGCAATTTTAAATTGTCCAGAAGGGTTGCTGGGCTTAAGGAATCTTGACTACCCTATTTTCACAACGCTCGCCGTACCCAATGAACAACCTACACAAACCATTCAAAACTGACAATAAAATGTAGAGTTACTGAACCTCACTGAAATTTTACGTATTCCAATATTTTTTTCTCAAGAGTTATGTTGTCAACACCGAAATATCGACACCCCTTTCATGTTAAATGGCTGATTCTATTTATTGCCTATACACATCATATACATTTTCTACCCTACAGAAAGTATTACATAAACCTTTGGACCAGTTGCACATAGGAGACTTGTTTTTAGAGGGAAAAATCAGCAAGTATTTTAACTGTATGTTAATCTATACTTAATGGTGGCTATCTATCTAGTATTTATTACAGAAAATATCAGGATATATTTAATTATCATCACCAGGTAGTTTTGACGTGTATATATCGAGATTAAATTTATTAACTTTAAATAGATATATTACAGAAAATTAATTTTATAAGTCGATAAAAAATATAGCTTTCTACTTTTTAATACATTAATTGTGCTATGAGATGCAAAAAAACCTAATTGTGTGATAACTGATAGCGGACTGGAAATGGAGTAGAATAAGACCTTGACATCCAAAAAAACATGCCATAATTTATTACTCTTCATCAAAATTTAGTAGTTTTTAAACTCTTTTAAACTGAACCATTTTTCAAACATGGCTGAAGACAAAAGGTCAATGCCAAAAAAAAAAAAAAAAAAAAAAAAAAACAACCATTTCAGTCCAACTGATAGCCTTGTTTGCATGCTTATAACCTATGATTTTTAAAAATATGGTCATTAAAGAATTTCAAACATTTACTACGGTGTGACAAAACTTTCTAAAGACAGGAGAATATCACAAAACAATATAATAAACTTGGTAGGATCGATAAATTTTATTTTCGTGGAGTATGACAGATCAAACACCCAAAAATACCGTGTACCACGGGAAAATTAATTTTTAAGCAAAGGGTAAGACTTATTTATTATTGATGAAAATTTTTCATCACATGTAAAATGAATATTAAATATTCAAATTAAAATAATGTTTTACATTCATTTAAATGAATGAAAACAGCTCATTGGTTTTGAAGGTAGATGGTTGTTGTTTCTATATCAGGAAAAGGGTTAACTTTTGTGGTTCTACTACATCAAAACTGTTAAATGTGGATGCAAACAAAATCTGAGAGAATCGTTAACTTTCGAAGTAACAGTGAAAGAGATGAGGCTACATAAATTATTGTCATTGTGTATAGCAAATTAAAATCAGTGCATTTACGTAAAGTGTAATATACTCAAATTCCGAAATTTTAAGTGTTTCTAGTTGCATATTGGTAAGAATGTGATCCGTTTTTCAATTTTATATAACTTTTTTATAGGGATTATTTTTTGTTTTTGGACATTTTCATTGAGATAAAAAAGAGATTTATTCTAATATTGCATTTAACACAATCTAACAACATCTAAATTACTTCTGCTTCACCAGTGATTTTTTCCTCTGGTGTATTGGCTTACGGAAGCGTTCGGGTAAACCAACTGATTAATAACTTCTGCAATTTCCGAACTGCCACAAACCAAAATCAGTTAATAAATTATCTTATTAAGATATTTCAACCCAACTTATAAAAAATTGAACTGAAATGCTAGGCTAAGCATTATTAGTTTCAATGTACATTTAACTTAAACTGAGAATGTTCGTTTTAAAGTAAAACTGAAAATTTTTGTTGTATGAATTTAACAGTACGATAAGTTATAAAAGCAGGCATACTAAAATAAGTTTTAGTTTTACTAACATAAATATTACAATTAAATTTTAATTTAAACAATAAACATTAAAACACTTAGGCATGAAACTTTTCCGTCCGTGTGATGGTTTTTGTTATCAATGGTGATTGACAAATTGAAAAATCTATACCTTGCTCATGTTTTTTTATATAATCCGACTAACCGAAAAATAACAGAATTTAGTCAACAAATTGTTTGTGGAAGGATATTAACGAACTGGATTTTATCAAAATCTCAAGATCATCATTACTCAAGATGATACTTCTAGCTCCGTTTAGAATACGGTTTACTGGAATATTCTGTTTACCAGTGTATCTGATGGTTTTTATTATCAATGGTGATAGACAGATTGAAAAATCGACTCCTTGGCCAAATGTTCATAGGTTTTCGAATAACTCGACTAACCGAAAAATGTCAGAATGTAGTCAACAAATTGTTTGTGGAAGGATATTAACGAACAGGATTTTATCAAAAGCTCAAGATCATCAAGATGATACTTCTAGCTCCGTTTAGAATACGGTTTACTGGAATATTCTGTTTACTAGCGTAACTGATGGTTTTTGTTATCACACGTGATTGATAAATTGAAAAAAAGTAATACATTTTTGTGTGGTGATTAGTGACCGTTAGTCGATAATTATTCAGAAATCGCGAGATGCGGTCTGGTGTGATGTAGATTTCAGAAAAACATTTTCTTTATCGTGCCAACGTTTCGATTTTTATTGAGATCATCTTCAGGGCTCAAAGTGTGGACTGGCACTCTCAACACGACACGCAAGAATGGCACAATTACACAGAAGACAAACACTTTGAGCCCTGAAGAAGATCTCAATAAAGATCGAAACGTTGGCACAAGAAAGAAAATGTATTTCTGAAACCTACATCACACCAGACCACATCTCACGATTTCTGAATAAGTAATACATTTGTATCAGATATTTATCGTTTTCTTTGTAATCTTAGTAATGGAAATATTTCAGAAGTTAGCCAACGAATTTTGTTTCGGGCAGGTATTAGCAATGAGAATTTAATTTAACATATAGTATTCTCGTGGTGTCAAAGTAAATGTTTTTGAGTTTCATGGTTGATCAGGTGTTTTATCAATATCATCATAAAAACTATATGTGTCATTTTATTATTAGTAATTTAAAAAGGATTCGAAAAAAATTAAAAACAGTTTTACAGCCATGAATAGTCTTTATTTTCCTTAAAAAATATACAAAAATATGAAAAAATCTCTTAATTTAATATCACAGAAACTCTTAATAGTTAGGAAAAATAATACATTTAGGTATTGACTAAGGGAGCAGATTTCACAAAGGCACTTGGGGTGGGTACTGACTTGAGACGTTATTGCAGAAGATCGTAAAGTGCGTTGATGTAGGTCTGCGCCATTTGGAGGGTTTCGTATTTGGATAGCTGCCTGTCGTTGCCGAGCGAAGGTAGGACGGTCCGAAGTCTGTCGAAGGCCTTGTTGAGGTTCTGCATCCGTCGCCGCTCCCTCGCGTTTGCAGCGAGCCGCCGCTTCTTCATCACCACTGGGCTCACTTCCTTCTTCTTCTTTTCTTCCTCTTCGGAGTCGCCTTTGTAGGTGCTCTCGCTCTCCGGGCTCGGGGTGAGCATGTATCTCTGGTAGGTGTCTGAAAACGGAGGCAGGTAGGCCGGAGATGACGACTCGTTCCCAGAGTCGACTTGGAACTCGCGTTCGAAACACGTGTACATTGCGGTGCTCATCTCGGGTTTAGGAACGAGACTGATCCCGGTTTCGGGGGTGTGCCCGGCTTATATACCCTTGGCCCCCACTAACGGCACGTGCCGGCCCCGGCGTGCTTCGCTGTTTACATTGGTCCGACCGCTTCCCCTCCAAAAGCCGAGCCGACCGTGTGATTGACTCGATACGGCCTACAATGCCGAGGCGCCTCCACTTATCTGCCAATCTCCCTCCTACTTGTCCACCACCGGGTAAAACGTGAGTACATTAAAGAAGTGATTTTTATCCCATGAAAGCTAAACAACTTTCACTTTATCTTCCATTCAAATCATAAATTAATTTACAGTTTATTACTCAGACAAGAGTAACAAAAGTCACGCCAATAATCTAGACCTTAAAATTGAGCCAAATCTTATATCCAAAAAGTGTTGGTGATGAATTCCCTGTTAACCTAAGTTATTACCAATTATATTCGTAGGAAATAATTCATTATTGCATAAATATTTTATCTTTAAGATGGCGATACGTGGATCGATCTGATAGGTGAGTACCATTCAGGTTATTACATTCAACATGTAGCACCTTAGTAACACCTTAGGACCGGTTTGCACGGAGGCAATCGGTCTCGAGGTGATCGATGTAACGTAGGGCAGAAACGGTCATACAGACGGGGAGATTGGCAGACGACCGGCATGAGATTCCGATTTGTAGTCGCTTAGGATGGCCTGTTGTAGCATCATACTTTTTCTGTGTACATTGAGAAGCATGGTGTCATTCACACAGTTCATACTGTATCGAGCAGATCGCCCCGTCCTACTCTTGTTTTACTTTTACCTATGTTAACTTTTAAAAGAGGATAAAAGTGACATTTTTATAATGACCAACTTTTGGTTCTGAAGTTCTTTATAAAGAAGGGCGTAGCTGCGCCTTGTGGCACGTCTCGTATTAATTTGGTGAACCCATATTACTCTACTTTTCCTTGTTTTTCACCTAATAAGTATGGCGCAATATGCCGTGTTACTGACAAACCTTCAACCAATCAGCGATATATGGTCATTGTTGATGCTCTGGCATTATATACGCCAAAAAGCTTCTAAATCGTCCTCTATAAAAATATGACAAAATCTAAGTTTTTAAACCGTTAGAGAGACGATCGTAAGAGATGGACGCGAGAGTCTAGTCGTCAAGAGAGTCACCTGGACACGTTTTGTATCTCATACGCTTCTCTTATCATACCGATCTCCTCCGTGTGAACCAGGCCTTCATAATACCTCACCTATTGTATTTTTAAAAGTGTATCAAATAACGAATTTATTCGTTGAAAATTATTTATTGTTGCCTAAATATTATATCTTTAGGATGGCGATACATGCGATCGATCTGATAGTTGAGTACCATTCAGGTTATCACATTCAACAAGTAGCACCTTAGACGGAGGCGACCGGTATGAGGTACCGATTTTTGTCGCTTGGGATGTTCGATCGCTTGATACTTTTTCTGTATGAAGGCGACTGACGTTCATACTGTATCGAGCAGATCGCTCCGACCCACTCTTGTTTCAATTTTACCTTTGTAACTTTTAAAAATGGATATAAATGACATATTTGGTAATGACAAACTAATTTCATTTGTGCCGAAGTACTTTATATAACGTTCCGTACTAATTGGGTGTACCCACATTAATCTACTTTTACTTGTTTTTCACCTAATACGCCAAAGAGCTTCTAACTCGTCCATTACAAAAATATGGCACAATCTAGGTTTTTAAACCGTTTGTGAAAAGATCGTGAAGAGATGAAGGGGAGGCGACTAGATCGAGTGGCCAGGAGAGTCGCCTGGATACTTTTTGTATCTCATACCGATATCGCATATGCGTCTCTTATCATACCGATCGCCTACGTGCTAATCGGGCCTTAATAACGCGAACAACCTTTCGCATTTTTAAAAGTGTATCAAATAACGAATTATATTCATTGAAAATAATTTATTATTGCATAAATATTATATCTTTAAGAATGCATGGATCGATCTGATAGTTGAGTACCATTCAGGTTATCACATTCAACAAGTAGCCCCTTAGACGGAGGCGATCGGTATGAGATACCGATTTTTGTCGCTTCGGATGTTCGATCGGTGGATACTTTTTCTGTATGAAGACGACTGACGGTACATTGGGCAGCATAGTGTCATTCATACAGTTCATACTGTATCGAGCAGATGGCTCCGTCCCACTCGTATTTTAATTTTACCTTTGCAACTTGTACAAATGCATAGAAGTGACGTACTTTATAATGACCAACTAATTTCATTGGTGCTGAAGTTAAAAAGTCGAGCGTAGCTGCGTAACACTCCGTATTAATTGGGTGTATCCACATTACTCTACTTTTACTTGTTTTTCTCCTAATACGCTTCTAACTCGTCCATTATAAAAATATGACATAATCTAGGTTTTTAAACCGTTTGTGAGAGGATCGTGAAGAGATGAAGGGGAGGCGACTAGATCGAGTGGCCAGGAGAGTCGCCTGGATACATTTTGTATCTCATACCGATATCGCATATGCGTCTCTTATCATATCGATCGCCTACGTGCTAATCGGGCCTTTATAACGCGAACAACCTTTTTCTTTTTTAAAAGTGTATCAAATAACGAATTATATTCATTGAAAATAATTTACTATTGCATAAATATTATATCTTTAAGAATGCGATACATGGATCGATCTGATAGGTGAGTACCATTCAGGTTACATTTATTACATTCAACAAGTAGCACCTTAATAACACGAGCAACCTTTTGTATTTTTCGAAGTATATCAAATAATGAAATTTACTATCACCAAGGTTTAGAATATTAAGATAAACGTTTTACAGAAAGGCTAAATTCGTAGCACTTCTTTTAAGCTAACCAAGCTTGTAAGTTCGCAATTAAATTGAAAGTGTAAATTCCTTTTATTGTTGTTGATTAATAGACATTATTTAATTATTTATTCGAGGCACTACGTATTTGGTAAAAATAGACGAACTCGTCGGATGAAATTTTGACTCTTACTGTATAATGCAGATTTATTCTACAATGTTCACCGAGTAATAACTAATCAGAAACTATTCACAGCCAATGAAATTATGCTCTACAACACCACCAACGTTTATGCTTCTCAAATATAAATTTATAATTATTCGGAGATCGTGAGATGCGGTCTGGTGTGACGTAGGTTTTAGAAAAACATTTTTTTTATCGTGCCAACGTTTCGATCTTTATTGAGATCGTCTTCAGGGCCTGGGATTTACAAACATTGTTTAAATTTTACAAAAATACATGTAGGATGTGGAAAAAAATGAATTTATACAATGCAAAAAATTATGTTCTATATTCAATCAAAGTATTTGTTTTCTGCGCATATATATATACGTATATAACACTTTGATTGGCCCTTAAGATGATCACAATAAAGATAGAAACGTTGGCACGATAAAGAAAATGTTTTTCTAAAACCTACGCCACACTAGACCGCATCTCACGATCTCCGAATAATCCGGTCACTAATCACCACACATATAAATTTATAAATATTTATATGCAAATAATTAAATAATTATTTAGAGATCGGATGCGGTCTGGTGTGACGTAGATTTTAGAAAAACATTTTCTTTACCGTGCCAATGTTTCTATCTTTACTGAGATCATCTTCAGGGCCTGGGATTTATAAACATTGTTTAAATTAAGAAATACATATAAGATATGAATATGAATTTATACAATGATGTACACAACATAGAAATTTCAGATTTAATCAAAGTATTTGTAGTCATTCAAAGTGTGTGTTTTCTTTGTAGATTTGTCACGGTTTTGTGTCGTGTTGAGAGCGTTAGTACTCTGTGTGAGTATAAATACTTTGATTAAACCTAAAATTTCTATATTGTATGAAATTAATAAAAAAATATTATGAAGTGAAACAGAATATTGCCATTGTATTGTTAAAAAAATTTGTTGAAAGTTGAAGAAATTCTTCAAAATTAGTCATTATTTGGACTGGTTTAGAAAACGTGTATGTTAAATGTTTTGGAAAATGTATATATTATTATGTATTTGAAATAAGAAATTGTTATTAATTGATGGTACAACCCAAATTACATGCGCATTGTAGAAAAATAAAATATATTATTAATTGAGTTTTATTCAATTTCATACACAAAACCTTTTAATATGAAGGTAAATTTATATTGTTTGCAAAGTAAATATGCTTGAGGGATGGTATTTTCAAGAATAAAAGTTTGTTTTCACGGTTGAAAGGTTTAAAGTTCTACTTTGCATGTAATCATTTGATTGTTATCATTATTGCTGTTATTGCAATTATTACATTGTAAATAAATATCTATAATTAAATGGTATGGAGGCACAATTTAACACCTCTCTCTCACTCTTTATTATCTCTCCCTTTCTCACTCTAGCTCTTCCCTCTTCCAAACGCACGTACGCACGCAAGCAAGCAAGCGCACACACAGACACACACACACACACACACACACACAACTCCAGGCCCTGATTTATATGAGTTTCTATTAAAGGACATTATTGCAACTGCTTTTGATATGGATCTTTCCAAATCATAATCTGAAATTAGCCTGGTACTCAAACCCGAGAATGAGAACATTAACAGTCCTTTCAATTATAGGCCTATTAATGTATTTCCTGTTGTAAGAAAACTTTTGGACAAGTCGTTGAAAGTCCGTATACTTTTCCACTTCATGCAGAAAAGCAGAAAATCCTGCCGTCGGACAGGAAATTTGGATTTTTACACTCGAAGGGGGCCACTGAAGGCACTGTCAGCAGACGTTCAGCGATACATCGACCGACAGCTGGAGTCAGGAAACAAGTGTTGTGGTGTCCCTGGATTTCCAGGGTGCGTTTAACGCTGCCGCGTTGGCTTACTATGTCGCAGCGACTAGCAGAAAGGAGGTGACTGTTAAGAAGCTACTTCGCTCATCGTTCTGCGGATATGCTCCTTCACAGTCACAAGACCTGGAGAAAAAACTATGCCCCCAAGACTCGTGCTGCGACCGCGCATTCTGGACTATAGCGTTTTATTCTATACTAAAAGCTTCCGTTCCTCCAA